GACATGCTGCTCATCACACACCACACAGTACTCATTCAACGTTGGGATCCTCTGTTCTGCATACTTCATGATCTGGGGAGAGAGCAGAGTTTACATCCTTTAGAATTACAGAGGTTTTCAAGCTGTTTTTAGCTTAGACCCTGAACTTCCACTGACGGCCTTCCTACACTGTTCCCTCTGTATGGTACTGTACAGATAAGATCAGCATGGCCTTCCAAACACAAGTCTTGAGCTGACATCCTGCCTCTCCTATTTACTATCACATAACCAGGCAAGTCAGCTAAATTTAGCCTTGTCTGCTTCATGGGAACATAGGTATACTCCAAGAAGTAAGATTTGTCCACTGAATTTGGGCATTAAGCCTGTCAGCCTGAGTTTCTGGGACCTATAGGCAGAAACCAACACCCAAGAGTGTCTTCTGACCTTCACACAGTGTTACGGTACACATGTGTGTACACACACACACACACACACACTCTTTCTTCCCTCTAATTAATTAATTAGATTAAAAAAATAAAATTTTAAGGCAGGCAATGGCAGTACATGCCTTTAATCCCAGCACTTGGGAGACAGAGGCAAGTGGATCTCTGTGAGTTCAAGAACAGCCTGGGTTGAGTTCCAGGATAGCTAGCGCTGTTTCACAGAGAAACCTTGTCTTAAAAAAAAGGGAAAGAAAAGAAAAAGGAAATGTTGGTTTTAGTCTTCATCCTTATGTATCTGGTAAGTGGAGGGCACGGGCCACAAGGCAGTGGAGAGGCCGCAGGACAACACTACGGGGTCAGGCCTCTCCTTGCACCTTCATGTGCATTCTGGGGGCTGTCAGACCTGCTCAAGCGCTTTTGCCAGCTAAGCCATTTCAAGGCTCCCATGGAAACAGCTAATAAACAGGTCCTAACTACAGTTACAGTGGCTGTAGTCATTACAGAATTTCTACTTGTGTCATTAGAGTATTCAAGTCAAGGTTAGATGCTGGATGGCAGGACTTAAGTCCTACCACCTAGGACAATTAACCCATCTCCTACACACGCACACACGCATGCACACGTACGTACACACACCCCACACACAGACTCCATGCTAAGAAAACGGCACAAATCAGGAGGTCTTATAGCAATATCTAAAACTGCTCGGTTTTAACATTTTTCTTTATCTAATACTGACTTAACCTGTTCTTATGTATAAATCAGGTTGTTCCCATTTACATGTCTATGAGTTGGTTATTGAGCCTGTAAGTCAGTGGTTCCACACCTGTGGGTCAAGACCCCTCTGGGGAATGGAAAGAACCTTTCACAGGGTTCGCCAAAACCACTGGAAAATATTTACATTGTGATTCGTAACAGTAGCAAAACTACAATTATGAAGTAGCAATGAAAATAATTTTATGGTTGGGGGTCACAGCAATAGGAAGGTTGAGAAACACTGCTGTAAGTGTTCTCAATAATGCTGTGATCCTCTTAAGGATGGAAGCCCGGCTTTCTTTCCTCTTAGTTATTCTATCAATACTCAATATAGTTCTGGAAACAAATCAACTCAGGAAATAACTGACTCAAGAGCTAGGAGATCGTAGGCAGTTAGATGGGTAAACAACAGAGACAAGCTTTGGAAAAAAAGCTCTGAAGTTGATTACCTGGACGAGGAATCCATACTCCAGGGTGGGGATGTTCTTGCAGTGACCACTGACCTAGTAAGAGTACAAAAAAGACCCCATGAGTCTCTTACAAAGTGGGGCCCAAACACACCTATTTTATACGCACAACCGAGAATTCTCCTAGAATAATTAAGCCTTAGCTTAGATCAACCTAAGTACTCAGAGAGCTGGAGAGATCGTTACAAGTTTTTGTTATAGGTTCTGGGAAAGTTCACCTGTCTTTAACCCTCTTCAAAGTTCGAATAGGTTCACACAGCAGCTGACTACCAAGTAGTAACCGTAACCTAGTAATATTATACATGACTTCTCTGGGCATGCCGATCTCCAGATTCTGCTTCATAAACTACTATCAGACAAACCTCTCAGACATGACAGCTTAGATACAACCATTTAATAATTAAAAACTATTCCATTCTATACATTCATGATATATACCTGGACTTGGGTGGAAAGCTCTAACCCCCTCCCTCCCCAGCCCTTTGAATAGTTATCCCCTATATTTCCACCCTCACCCTCCTAATGCCCACATCAAACCATTCCCAGCCCATGTACCAAAGGTGAAGTCCGTGCTGGGGGAGGGAGGCCCACGTGCTGGGGGCACAGGAGACCTGCCTGGGGGCTAGGGGGATAGCCAAACACCTCTACTTTTGGGTTCTTCATGGTGCAAGAAATGGAACGATTCATAAGGCGTCCAACTCTAAGCTCTGGTACACCCAGTTTGCCTTTCAACATGGAGTCCTGTATGACAGGAAAACTGGGAGACCTGCAGAGAAAGAGCAAAGAAAAGGTAAGAAAAGTTGGGTGGTGGATGCAGAGGCAGAAAGATCTCTATGAGTATGGTCTACAGAGTGGGTTCTATGATAGCCAGGGCTACAAAGAGAAACCCTGTCTTAAAAAAAAAAAAACCAGAAATAAAGAAAAGAAAGAAGGAAGGAGGGAAGGAAGGAAGGAAGGAAGGAAGGGAGGGAGGGAGGGAGGGAGGGAGGGAAAGAAACAAAGAAAAGGAACAAAGAAAAAATGAATAAAACTGGGAATTCATTATGAGTTCTAGAAGAAACTTAGAAAAAAGAACATCACAGGCCACAAAAGATCACAAATATAAGGGATAGTCTATTGTTATCTTAAGTAGTGTCAAGAGAAAATAATAAATTACACAACTGGCCTTTATATCATTATTTGTATGTTCTTCAGGTTGTGGCATAGAAGAAAGACAGAGGCTAGCCTAGGCCACTGTGTCATTAAAACTAAGTATGGCTAAGTATATTCTTTGAAGATGGTGTGCTCATTTTTTGTTGTGAGAAGGACTAAGCATTCAACACTATGCTAAGCAAGTAGTTGCATCTTGAACCTTGCCTAATGTTGACCATCCATAGTGATCACTGAGACACTACAAATGTAGAAATGTGACCACCTTTGGAGGATGAGAAGACACTGAAGTGCAGAAATGTAAAACCAGGGTCAAAGGGGAGCAAGGTGTATTTCCAGAGCTTAGATATCAGTACAGTACATGCTCCATAAGAGCAGGAAGTTAGTATCTATTACTCTGTCTTTTCATGACAAGAAATAAAGATAAGAGCTGATGAGAAGACAGAAAAGACAAAGGGCTTGAAAAATGTTTCAGCAGCTCTTGAGGAGGACCCAAGTTTGATTCCCAACACCCACATGGCAGCTTACAGCCATCTGTAACTCCAGTTCCAGGGGATTCAATACCCTCTCTTGGCCTCTGAGGGTACTAGGCACATAAATGGTGCAAGCAAAAAACCCATAAATAAACAAACAAACAAAAAAAGCAATTTAAAAAATATGGAAAAATAATACACTTGCCTCCAAAAGTTAGATACTGAATTTTACATAAGGGATGAGTTACAAATATTGAAACAAAGAAGAAGGATAAGAATACAAAGGGGATCAGTACCATGTGTTGCTATTAGTAGCTGAACGTTTAGAATTTAGTGGACTCAGAGAAAAGACATAAGAAATTAATCTAGGCATCTGAGAAGGAAACAAGAAAGGTATTTTGGAAATGATTAACTCTAAGGAAGTGCTTACTTGGGAATGGGTGAGAAGATGCTGAGGCCAGCTCGGAACTTCTTGATGGTACCACTTGCCTTGAACCAACTGTGTCTCTTCTCCTGCTGGGTCTTCAAGAAATCATTGCTCAGATGTTTCCATTGTTGGGATGTAAACATACCAAGGATCCTGGAAGATCAAGAAGATTAGGCAATTTCTAACAGAAGAACAGGACTAATAGAGGAAATTAATCTACTCATAGACTATAAAGCTAGTTATGATAGAATAACGTATGCCTAAAGCATCCTTGATTTAACACTGTCCCATAGAAATACTGTCTTAAAGCACCTTCATCCTAGGAATAATAACTTACTCCCATTACCTAACTAAATGGGCTGCAAAATTTCTGAAGAGACTATAAAGGTGAACATTCAGCCTAGAAAGGTTTAGTGTCACAGATAACTTACATGGAGAACAGAACAGAGGTGGCAAAAGAGAATACAATCTTGCAATAGTGCAGTAACTATGGCCATGAGGTACCACCCGTGTTAGGTGAATCTCTGAGCTTATGGCCTTCACCTTGCAACCCAACTTGTCAATCACCTATCCTTGACCAGTTCTTTGAAGAATTCCTCTAGGCTATCATGATAAAACCACATCAGCTTCTTCAAACTCAAAACTTCACCTACAACCAATCTCTTTTTCTTCTCATCAGAGAACATCATAAGGTGTCAGTTTCCCTAATTTTTCTAACCCTAATACAAAATCTATTTCTACTTCCAACTCTTATCTCCAGCCCTTCATTCTCTGGAGACAAGGTAATCCTATTTAAGACTGACTTCTCTATTTGGGCTCCACCAATGTCTCTTGTCTGTAGAGACCACTATCACACCCTCCTGTCCTGTCAGTTCCTTTCCCAAAGTCTCTAAAATATTTCATTTTTCTCCATCTCAGCTAGGCAAGCGCTCTACCTCTGAGCTGCATCTTTAAGGGGAACCAGGTTCCTCTGACCTAGTTTTCATGTTTCTTCTTCCCCTGTCTACCCTCCTGAAGGTTTCTTGGTTACTTTGAGTGTTAAAACATGTTCTACCTTTGATTCTATCCTCTTTTCATCCTTTCATTCTCTCCTGTAACAGTCCTACATCTACTGGTTTCAAGCCCCCCACACTGATGCTTCTCTCCAGCCCTAACCTCTCCTGTGTCAAGTTGATATACTGCATACTGAACATCTTGTATATCCCAAAGTTGCCTGTTAACAGCATGTTTAAAATTCTTATCCTACAAACTTAGGGGTTTTTTTTTCCCCCACAAATCCACTTTTATTTATTTACTTTTCATTAGTTTAAATCCAGGATGGGTACAGCATCACAGGGATTCTGTGTCCAAAGGCCTTCACAGAACGGTTGTTTTGGAATTTGGCGTGAACCATGCCACTCTTTCCATGGGACCAAGTTACTTTTCCCCAGATCACTCTGCTTTTGTTTGGTTTGCCTCCAGGAGTCACTGTATTGTTTTTTGCTTTATACACATAAGCACATCTGTTACCTAAGTAGAATTCAGTTTCACCTCGGGCATAAACACTTTCAATTTTAAGAAGGGCTATGAGCTCTCTTTGGTTCTGGAGACTTCTCTTGCAGCCAGCAAAAATGGCTTTGCACCACAGCCTTCCAAACATGTTTGCTGCTTAAAAGTCCTGTTCCCAGCAGGCCCCAGAAATCTGACCCTGAAGTTCAGAAGCAGGCTCTTCTTATGTTCTTATTGGTAGTATAAGGTATACTACTAGTATAAGATATTTGGGCTAGCAACCCTGGAATTATTCCAGTATTTCTGGATTCTTAGAATATTCAATATATCTAAATCAGCCCAAGCATTAATAAGTTTATATCCTGTACATCTGTTGTCTACACATATGTAGGAAAAACATTCACATATAAAATAAAATAAGTAATTATTTTTTTTTTTTGTTTGTTTGTTTGTTCATTTGTTTTCCAAGACAGTATAGTTCTGGCTGTCTTGGAACTCTCTCTGTAGACCAGGCTGAGCCTTAACTCAGAGATCTACCTGCCTCTGCTTCTGGGATTAAAGGCATGAACCACCACCAGCTAGTAATAAAAAACTGTAAACAAAGGAAAGTTATTCTGGCATTTTGCATGCTACCAGAGTGGTTTTCTAAGCTTTCAATAGGAAGCTGGAGATAACCAAATGGGTGCTTACAACCACTCTTAAAAAAAAAAAAAAAAAAAAAGACTTGTTTATTGATTATTTGTAGTGTTCTGCCTACCTGTATGCCTGCATGCCAGAATAGGGCATGAGATCTCACTAAATGATTGTGAGCCACCATGTGGTTGCTGGGAATTGAACTTAAGAGCTCTGGAAGTAAAGCCAGTGCTCTTAACCTCTGAGCCGTCTCTCCAGCCCAATATAAATATCTTAAAAGAAAAAAAAAAAAAAAAGCTTTTCTATAGATGCCAAGATGGCTCAGTAAATAAAGACTTGAATGAGTTTGATTACAGGGACCCAACATGGTAGAAAAAGAGAATTAATCCACAATTTCTCCTCTGATCTTCATACATACACTGTGACAAATGCACCATGACACAAACATGCCCATGTAATAAATACTGTAGTTAAACAAACCATGTTTCAGTGTCCTTGCTGCCTAGGCCAAAAGCTCAGTATCTCCCTGGAATTGAAGTCTCGTTTCTGGGTTTCTTACACCATTTCTTATGCTTTACCACATCTCCCCACACACAGGCTGCTTTGTGTGTCTATGTCCCTGCAAGAGTTATCCACTCTTGGAGTCTGTCTACATACATAATTCTTAGCCATATTTAAAATCAATTAAGCATCTTCCTTCTGAGGAAGATTAAGCCCCTCTTTCCTTTGTGTCCTTCTAAACTTTCAATCTATATTGACCTCTTATAGGAAGGGAAAGGAAAGTAAGAAAAATCCAAGGTAGGAAAATGTGCTTCAGTTCTCCAAACACTAGAATAATAAATCATTAGCACAAAAATCTTTTTTTATTGTTGTTTTGTTTTGTTTGTTTGTTTGTTTGTTTGTTTTTTTCAAGACAAGGTTTCTCTGTGTAGCCTTGGCTGTCCTGGACTTGCTTTGAAGACCAGGTTGGCCTCAAACTCAGAGATCTGTGTTCCTCTGCCTCCCGAGTGCTGGGATTACAGGCATGCACCACCGTGCCTGGTGCGCAAAAAATCTTAATACATTCAATACCCTAAGCTTGTCTAAGTCCCTGGAGCCTTCTGAGTAAACCACAAGAGAAAAACATGAATAGTGTGGCTCTGATTCCTGTACTTTCGCTTAAGTACTGGGTAATGAAGAACTTCTCCCTGAATTTTCAGAAAGTGTCATGTCTGACATCCAAAAAAATCACAGGCTTCTCCTCCACAACCAGAAATCTAGCTTCTCAATTTTATTTTAACTTTTCCTAGTAATCTTTTAGAGAAACATTCTTAGAAGAAAACATGACATTCAAGGCTCTGAGACATCTGTTATTAAAGTCTAGATTGTGACTGTCCCCCGAAGGTTAACATGCTGAAGACTGGGGCCCCAATCTGTGGCAGTACCAGGAAGTGGTAGAGTATCTGTGAGATAGGACTTGGTAGAAGGAAGAGAAGTCGCTCACTGCAGGCAGGCCCTTGTAGGGCTACCTGACCCCTCATGTGGGTGGGAGACTTCCTGTCTGTCTATGTTTGCCAGGCACATTCTAGGTTGGGCAGGCCCTTTCTACACCATGCTTCCACAACAGCACAACACTGTGCTGTCAAAGATCCAAATAAGGCAAAGCCACTATGGGCTGAAACCTCCAAATTATGAGCCAAAATTGACTTTTCTTCCTTCTAAGTTAAACGGTCACAGAAATGAGACGCTAAGATACACATATATTAGACTTTCTCTCTCACATGTCCATGACCAAAAGAAAAAAAAATTCTTACTTTTTCAACTGAAGCCCTAGCCCAAACCCTTCCTTATTCGATGGCTGGAAAACCTCAATTGATGGCTCTGCAAAGAAAAGAGAGAGTTTCCAATATGTATATATCAGTATGTGTACATCTCTAACCTCCACAAAGTCCAAAGTAACAGTCCAGTCGGACAGCATCCTCAGAGTCCAGACCCAGCAGTTGTTAGGGACCTTAGGCACAGCCATCTTGCAGCGGAGAGCAGCTATGACTGCGGTGGCTGAACACAAAACTGCAACTTACCTAAAACATTATGAGAATTCTTATTTTCTTTTTTTTGTAACTTAATTGCTCAGTTTGTAAGTTTGGTTTTTGGAGAGGACAATGTGTTGGAATGTCAATAAGTTGGACATGCCTGCACAGCGGAGGAAGGAAACTTGAGAAAGCAATAGAATCTAGAAGCTATAAAATAAATTTCAAATATCTTCAGTAGAAAGATGAGAGTTTTGAAGAAGAATAAATATCTTCAAATCAATAAAACAATTTCACAAATCAAGAAGGCTATCAGATGACTAGAGATAAAGACACTAATGATAAAAATGGAAATACAGGGTAAGCACAAAGATCTTATTTCTAATTTTATTTTTACTTTAGTTAACTTAGGACTTTGGATCAGACCATACTCAGACTACCCACTTGTCCAAAATCACTGCCCTTTACCTGGTCCATCAAGGTACTGGGAGAGAGAAAACCGTAGCCTCAACACAATAGGTTCTGTTCGAAGGACCTTCCAAGCTGTAGATACTTCCTCCTAGAAGAAGAAGAGAAGACACTTCTGATTTACACTAGAGAGAAGTGGACGAGAAGTTTCCTCTCTGAGGAAATACACACATGTACATCACAGTCCACACCACTATCTGCTGATGCTCTTGACAGATGAAGAATAAATGCTCAAATACAGCACTCAAGAACAAGATACAAGATCTCAGGGAAAACCACGAGGCAAGCTACACATGCTGTTGGCAACACTCACATCAAGGAAGCTGATGTTGATGTGAAGGTCAATGTCCACGTCATCGATAGTTCCATATTCTCTACAGAGACACAGGCAACCACAGGTGAGGCTCATTAAGACAGAAAGAAGGAAATAGAGAGAAGGTAAAGCAGAACTGAACCTGGGACCAGGAGAAAGGGTAAAGGTAGCTTGACATTTCAGATCTTAGCTACATGTCAGGCCACTTGCATGACCACAGCCCTTCTTACCTCAAAGGTGAAACTACTGACCTAGAGGCATTTAGAATGAGATGGAACAGCTAAGAAAAGGAGTTCTAACTCCTAGACCCTACCATTAGCATGCTTAAATATTCTGAACAGCCTTTTATTACTAAACTCATAAATTTATTACCCCATTGTACCGTTAAAAAAACAAACAAACAAAAAAACACACCAAAAACCTCTAGCCTTTTAAAGATCATCGTCACCCTGAAGTGGAATCCCACCTGATGGACACGGAGTTCTCACTGTAGATCTCTTTCACTGCTTCAATGTCTGCATCAAGCTGTGGGTGTCTATATAGGTCAGCTGCACAGCTCCCCTGATAGAGCAGTAAAAACATCGATGGTAGCAGGGGTAGAAAGTTAGACAAAGGGAAAGAAAGAGAGAGAGAGAGAGGGAAAGAAAGAAAGAGGGAGAGAGAGGAAGAAAGAAGGAAGGAAGGAAGGAAGGAAGGAAAGAAAGAAAGAAAGAAAGAAAGAAAGAAAGAAAGAAAGAAAGAAAGAAAAGTAAAAGAACATGAAGATACACCAGGAACAGGAGAAACCAAAGTGCAGCACAGAGGTTCTTGATGGTAACCCTAACACAAATAGCATGGAACAAGTCTCTCCCCACCCCTCCAAGAACACGTCAGCAGGCCAACAGGCAGGCTTTGCTTAGAGTTCACATCCTTCAAGCTCTAGATTTTTCTTGCAAATTTTATCTTCTATGGAAATTCAGAAGAGTTCTCTCTGAAGAACATTCTGAGAGTCTGAGCAACTTTGCCCAGGACTTTGCTCTGGGTAACAATGATAATGTGTTCTCTCCAGGAGTCACTTAAAATTTGGCTAATGAGAGAAGAAAATGATTATTTCTAACTAACAGATGGGTAGCTTTCATGAAGAGGATACACTTTACTGTAGGATAATGACAAGTCCTAGGCATGAGCAAGGAAAATGAATCAGTTCTGAAAGACTCTTATCAAGCCCCAACATTACATCTCATTTCATCTCTCTTCAGAAGAACTTCTCTTTCTTGATATACCCAGCACATAAAATCTAAATTATCCAACACTGAGTTTTGAGGAGTGCAATCTCACCTGAACTCCATACAGAAATTCCTCTGATTCATTATCTCCTTCAGAATCATCATCATTCCAGAACTGGCCTTTGATGTCCTGGAGATAAACAAACAAACAAAAACAAGATGCAGCATCCTTTATTAGATCCTTGTTATTGCAGAATAGAGTAGGGCAAAGGACAGGAACTGGATCCTCACATTTCTTGGGACAGAAAGAAGGATTATGGCTGAAGCCTTAATACTTTTACTCCGCACACTTCACTCTGAGTCCAATATTTATCTACAACCTCGCTCTGACTAGGCGGGATAGAGGAAAACATACCTAAGCTCTGCCTCATCTCTTGTCTTACATGTTGTCTTTGAGGCAGGGTTTTGCTCTGTAGCCCTGGCTGGCCTAGACCTTGAAGCAATTCATCTGCCTCAGCCTCCC